CTTCCTCTGGTAATAAATTCCACAGGCTCACTACCCTTTGGTGAAGAAGTGTCTCCTCATCTCTGTCCTAAATGGTCTACCCCGAATCCTCAGACTGTGACCCCTGGTTCTGGATACACCCACTATCGGGAACATCCTCCCCTCATCTACCCTGTCCAGTCCTGTTAGAATTTTATAAGTCCCTATGAGATCCTCCCGTCATTCGTCTGAACTGCAGCAAAAACAATCCCAACCTAGTCAATCTCTCCTCATACGTCAGACCTGCCATCCCCGGAATCAGCCTGGTAAACCTTCGCTGCACTCTCTCGAGAGCAAGAGCATCCTTCCTCAGAAAAGGAGACCAAAACTGCACAAAATATTCTAGGTGTGGCCTCACCAAGGCCCTGTATAACTATAACAAAACATCTCTGCTCCTGTACTCGAAACCACTCACAATGAAGGCCAACATACCATTTGCCTCTCAATCCAGCCACCAGGAGCCATAGTATGCCTAGACTAGCTGGTTGACCCTAAAGTTTATCATAACAAGCAAGAGTTTCTTGGCTTTTGGCAACATCATAACTGGCTTAATGAAAAAGACTAGGAGATACAAAGTGTATAGTGTTCATTGACTGAAAACTTTGTTGTGGTTCAAGAGAAAAGCAGCAGTAAATATAAAGCCCATAACATAAAAGAAAAAATGTTGGATAGAATGAGCATGAAAGATGCCCAACAACTTACAGACACCAATCATGTGTGGGTTTTCTTCAGCAATCTCAAGACACTCTATGGCCCAAGCATTTAAGGGCCCACTTTGCTGAGAACCATCCATGGAGGGGAACTCATCAAGGTCAGAGGAAGTTAGTGCTCACTGGAGAGAATACTTTGAAGAACCTCTCAACTGAGACTCTGTCTTCAACTCAAACATCCTCAATTCTATTCCTCAGAACTCTGTCCAGCTCAATCTTGGCATTGCTCCAGTCCAGAGTGAAGTTGAATAAACCATTTGAGATCTGAAAAACAACAAAGTTCCTGAAGCAGATGGAATCACCACTGAAACTCTGTAACATGTTGGAGATGCACTCCCAACATGGTTGAACAACCTTTTATTCCTCATCTTGGAAAAAGAGCACATTTTGGGGTATCTTGGAGATAATGTAATCATGATTATGTTCAAGAAGGAAATAAAAGTCTAGTTGTGGTAACTACAAAGGAGTATCCATGCCATCCACCTCAGGCAACACATTCCTGCGAAGGTTCTCCTCATTCACTCCTTTCCAGTGGCTGCAGTCCTCCTTCCAGCGTCACTGTGATATTTGCCCATCAAAAGGCATCCACAGACATGTTTTCACTGTGCAGCTAAATGCATGAAGTTGCACCAACCACTGTATAAGGCCACTTTCAACCTTATGAAACCCTATTAAGCAATCTCAGAAATATTCCAGTGCAGAAGCAAGCCATTTGGCCCATCATGTCTGTACTAGCTCTCCAAATAAGCACCATGACTTTGTCATTCTCCTGCCTTTTTCTTACAATTCTATTCAAATAATTGTCTAATGCCTCTTGAATACCATGCCTCCTTGAATACCTCATTTGAACCTGCCTTCATCACACTTCCATGCAGTGAATTCCAGACCTGAACCACTGTTCTGTGAAGTGTATTTTCTCTCATCATATTTACTACTTGTGCAAATTTTTTTGAATCTGTGCCTTCTTGATCCTTTACAGGCAGAAACAATTTGTCCCTGCCTGCTTTCCCCAGAGGATTCGTCAGTCATGAAGATGTATGGAGTGTCCTTTTCAAATTTTGCTGCTGTCAGAAATTTGTCACCACGCCTTGCCTACTTCACGATGACATGCAACCTTGATCGTCAACAATAGAATCACCAGCGGCCATATTTCAGTAAAAACTGCGGTTAAACAAGGCTATGTTATTGTACCGACCACCTCCTCCCTTTTCTTTGCTGCACCTCACCACCAGCAAATTACGTAAAGGGATGGAGATAACCTAAAGAACAGATGGTAAACCTATTCCACTTTCAATCCAAAGCCAAACCCAGTCCAACCTCAGTCAGTGAACTTTGGGATGCAGGTGACATTCACATGGAAGGTAAGGAAGGGTCACCAGACCCAAAACGTTAACTCTGATTTTTTTCTTCACAGATGCTGCCAGACTTGCTGAGCTTTTCCGGCAACTTTGTTTTTGTTACTGATTTTCAGCATCTGCAGTTCCTTCAGTTTTCACATGGAAGCTGACCTGTTGGTCATTGTAGCTTATTTAAAGTGTATGAGAAAATGGCCTTTCACTGAACAGTTAGAACACCAAGAACCTCTTCCAATCAGCTCCCACACCAAAACATTCTCACCCCATCTTCAATTAAGATCAATGGTGAAGATAGACATAGATGCCAAAATTTATCATCACCTTTAATGTTCCAGCTCAGCATTCAGCTGACAGAGGAAGAGAACTAGGATTGCAAATCCGAAACTAAGATCATGGTTTATCAGGCAGCAGTGATCCATATGCTTCTATATGGACAACTGATAGCAGGCACTTCCAAAGCGATGGAGAAGTACCACCAGCAGGTTAGATTGTTTCTCATTGGTGATCATCATTCCGTGGAATTTGTGTGGGGCGAATGTTACTTGCGACTTGTCAGCCTAAGCCTGGATATTGTCCAGATCTTGTTGCATTTGAACATGGACTGCTTCAGTGTCTGAGGAGTCGCGAATGGTGCTGAACATTGTGCAGTCATTGGCGAACATCCCCACTTCTGACCTTATGATGGAGGGAAGGTCATTGATGAAGCAGCTGAAGATGGTTGAGCCTAGGACACTACCCTGAGGAACTCCTGCAGAGAGGTCCTGGAGCTGAGATGACTGACCTCCAACAACCATGACCATCTTCCTATGTGTCAGGTATGCTTCCAACGAGTAGAGAGTTTGTCCCCCAACATCCATTGATTTCATGAAGCAAGGAACATAGAACATAGAACAGTACAGCATAGTACAGGCCCTTTGGCCCACGATGTTGTGCCAAACTTTTACCCTAATCCTAAGGTCTATCTAATCTCCACTCCTACCTTATACTATCATCCATATGCCTATCTAATAGCCACTTAAATGCCCCTAATGAGGCTGCCTCCACTACCCTCTCCGGCAATGCATTCCATGCCCTGACCACTCTCTGAGTAAAGAACCTACCTCTGACGTCTCCCCTATATCTACCTCCACTCACTTTAAAACTATGCCCCCTCATAATAGTTACCTCCACCCTAGGAAAACGTCTCTGGTTGTCCACTCTATCTATACCTCTGATCGTTTTGTACAACTCTATCAAGTCACCTCTCATCCTTCGTCTTGCTAGGGCTCCTTGAGTCAAATGCATCCTTGATATCAAGGACTGTCACTCCCACCTCATTTCTCAGATGACTTTTCCTAAAAGCTTTACTGCTACTGAGGTTAAATTGACTGGCCTGCTGGAATTATCCTTGCATTTTCTTTTTGAACAAGGATGTAACCTTTCCAATTCTTTAGCCCTATAGCATTATCCACTTATCTCAGGGCTTATAACATTATGGCTAATGCTTCACAATTTCCTCCCTTATTTCCTTAATATCCTTCAACATGCCCCATCCAGTCCTAGTGATTTATCAAATTGAAGCACTGCCAACCTTTCTAGCCTCTTTATCAATCTTTAGCCCATCCAGTATCTCGACTACCTCCTGTTTCACAATGACTTGGGCAACATCAAGCAAGAAACATACAATATCTTAGTCACGTCATAAGAGCAGATAGTAGGCACAGACTATTAATGAATCACAGAATTGGATCCAAAATTGGCTTAGGGGACAGAGGGTAGTGGTAGAAGGCTGTTTGTGCAACTGGAGGCTAGTGTCCAGTGGTGCACCACAGGGAGCAGTGCTGGGTCCCTTATTCTTCAATTTGGGGGATGACAAGTAGGTTTGTGGACAATATGAAAATTGGCCACATGGTTGACAATGAGAAAGAAGGTATTAGGTTGTAGGAGGATATAGATGAGTTGGGTAGGTGGGTAGATCAGTGGCAGATAGCATTGAACCCTGAAAAGTGTGAGATGATACATTTTGGAAGAAGTAACAATACAAGGGAGTATTCAATGAATGATAGGATGCTAGTAAGCTCCAAGGAACAGAGGGATCTTGGGATGCATGTCCACAGATCCCTGAAGGTGGCAGGGCTGGTTAATGCTAGAGTTAAGAGGGCATATGGGACACATACTTTTATTAGTCATGGCATAGATGGTAAGAACAGGGAGGTTATCTTGGAGCTGTACAGGACTTTGGTTAAGCCATAGCTAGAGTACTGTCTGCAGTTCTGGTCACCATGCTATTGGAAGGATTGCACTGGAGGGGCTGAAGGGGAATTTCACAGGATATTGCCTGGGATGGAGCACTTTAGCTATGAAGAGTGACTGGCTAAGCTCAGGTTGTTTTCTTCGAAGCAGAGAAGGCTGAAAGGGGACCTGATACAGGTGTATAAGATTATGAGGGGCATGGACAGGATGAATAGAAAGCAGCTGTTTCCCTTAGTCGAAGGGTCAATAACAAGGGGACATAAATCTAAAGTGAAGGGCAGGAGGTTTAGAGGAAAAATGTTTTTACTCAGAGTGTGGTGGGTGTCTGGAAGGCACTGCCTGGTAGGGTAGTTGAGGTGGGTAACCTCACAGCCTTTAAAAAATTACTTGGATGAGCAGTTGAAATGTAATAAAAGTCAAGGCTAATAAGCCTAGTTTTGGAATCTGGGTGTAGTGTAGCTTTGGTTGTGCAGACCAGATGGGCCTTTTCTGTACTGTTTGATTCTATGAAATCTTTAGGCATAGAAGGAGGCCAATTGGCCCATCATATCAGCACCAGCAGGAAGGAAGCTTTGGCAGAAAATGTAGGAGAGGAAAGCAGAGGGTAAGACTTGGCAGAGGAAATAATGAACTGGAAGAAGTAATTTCCCTCCAACTTTATTCCTCTTTATGTTTCTTATTGTAGATGGCCTACAGAATACAGCCAGTGATGCAATGATTCCTCAACTGATTTTCAACTCCAATCAAATCAATCATGTTTAACACAGGAGGACGTCACTGCTGCATCCTCCAATTTTCCCTGTCTTTCTTGGACACCCTGTATCCAGGCATATGAAGGGCCCAGATCTTATTGAGCTAGTTATATTTACTCCCATAAGATCTTAATTCCGGGTTAACAGCTTTAACCCAGGTACAATCTAATGGCTTTATCCTGGGTTCACTTTATCCTAGCTCTCACTCACTGTGTTATCCCAGCTCCCACTCTCATTGTGTTATTCCAGTTCCCACCCCCTCACGTCTTATCCCACCTCCCACTCTCAGTGCATTAGCCCAGCACTCTCACTCACTGCGTTATCCCAGCTCTAACCAAAACTGCGTTATCCGAGCCCCCAATCTCACTGCGTTATCCCAGCACCGTGTCTTACTGCGTGATCCCGCATTGACCCTCACTGTGTTATTCCAGTTCCCACCCTCACTGCGTTATCCCAGCTCCCACTCTCGCTGCAATATCCTGACTTCCACTGTCACTGCATTATCCCATCTCCCACTCACTGCATTATTCTGGGTTCACTCTCACTGTGGTATCTAGCTTCCACTCTCTCCATTATCCCAGCTCTCGATCACTACATTATCACAGCTTCCACTCAATCCGATATCCCGGGTTCACTGTCACTACGTTATCCCAGCTCCCACTTACTGCATTATCCCAGCTCCCACTCACTGCGATAGTCCGTGTTCACTGTCACTGCATTATTCCAACCCCCAGTCTCACTGCGTTATCCCAACTCCCACTGTCACTGCGTTATCCCAGCTCCCACTTACTGTGTTATCCCGGGTTCACTCTCAATGTGTTATCCCAGCTCTCACTCACTGTGTTATCCCAGCTCCCACTCTCACTGTGTTATCCCAGCTCTCACTCACTGTGTTATCCCAGCTCCCACTCTCACTGTGTTATCCCAGCTCCCACTTACTGCGTTATCCCAGCTCCCAGTCAGTGTGTTATTGCAGCTCCCGATCACCGGTTATCCCAGCTCCCGATCACTGCATTATCCCAGGCCCCACTTACTGCATTACCCCAGCTCCCATTCACTGTGTTATCCCAGCTGCTACTCTCACTGTACTATCCCCTCTCCCATTCATTGTGTTAGCTCAGCTCCCACTTACTGCGTTGTCCCAGGTTCACTCTCGCTGCAATATCCCAGCACCGACGCTCACTGCGTTATTCCAGCTCCCAGTCTCACTGCGTTGTCCCACTCCCACTGTCACTGCATTATCCCATCTCCCACTCACTGCATTATCCTGGGTGCACTCTCGGTGCGTTATCTCAGCTCCCACTCACTTGGTTATCCCAGCTTCCAGTCACTCCATTATCCGAGTTCCCGATCACTGCAATATCCTGGGTTCACTGTCACTGTATTATCCCAGCGCCCACTTACTGTGTTATCCCAGGTTCACTCTCACTGCATTACCCCAGCTCCCACTCACTGTGTTATCCCAGCTCCCAGTCACTGCGTAATCGCAGCTCCCACTTATTGCGTTTTCCGGGGTTCACTGTCACTGCGTTATCCTGGGTTCACTCTCATTGCGTTATCTCAGCTCCCACTCACTTGGTTATCCCAGCTCCAAGTCACTCCGTTATCCCAGCTCCCACTCACTGTGTTGCCCCAGCTCCTACTCACTGTGTTATCCCAGCTCCCACTCACTGTGTTACACCAGCTCCTACTCACTGTGTTATCCCAGCTCCCACTCACTGTGTTATCCCATCTCCCACTCACTGTGTTACCCCAGCTCCCACTCACTGTGTTACCCCAGCTCCTACTCATTGTGTTATCCCAGTTCCCAGTCACTGTGTTATCACAGCTCCCGACCACTGTGTTATGCCAGCTCCCGATCACTGTGTTATCCAGGCTCCCGATCACAGCGTTATCCCAGACCCCACTTACTGCATTATCCAAGCTCCAACTCAGTGCGTTATCCCAGTTTCACTCTGACTGCGTTATCCCAGCTCCCACTTACGGCATTATCCTGGGTTCGCTCTCACTGTATTATACTAGCTTCCACTCACTGTGTTATCCCAGCTCCCAGTCACTGTTATCACAGCTCCCACTTACTGCGTTGTCCAGTGTTCACTCTCACTGCATTATCCCAGCTGCCACTTACTGCGTGATCCCGGGTTCACTCTCACTGCATTATCCCAGCTCCCACTTACTGCATTATCCTGGGTTCATTCTCACTGCGTTATCCCAGCTCCCACTTACTGCATTATCCTGGGTTCACTCTCACTATATTATACTAGCTTCCACTCACTGTGTTATCCCAGCTCCCACTCATTGTGTTATCCCAGCTCCCACTCTCACTGTATTATCCCAGCTCCCACTCTCACTGTGTTATCTCAGCTCCCACTCATTCTGTTATCCCAGCTCCCACTCTCACTGTATTATCCCAGCTCCCACTCATTCTGTTATCCCAGCTCCCAGTCACTGTGTTATTGCAGCTCCCATTTACTGCGTTGTCCCAGGTTCACTCTCACTGCATTATCCCAGCACCGACGCTCACTGTGTTATTCCAGCTCCCAGTCTCACTGCGTTGTCCCATTCCCACTGTCACTACATTATCCCATCTCCCACTCACTGCATTATCCTGGGTTCACTCTCGGTGCGTTATCTCAGCTCCCACTCACTTGGTTATCCCAGTTTCCAGTCACTCCATTATTTCAGCTCCCGATCACTGCAATATCCTGGGTTCACTGTCACCACCTTATCCCAGCTGTGTTATTTCAGTCCCCACTTGCTGTGTTATCCCAGATCGCCCTCACTGCTTAATCCCAGCACCAAGTTACTGTGTTATGCCAGCCCCCACTCTCACTGCATTACCCCAGCTTCCGTTCTCGTTGCATCATCACAGCTCATTCTCACTGCTCCCACGCTCACTGTGTTATTCCATCTCCCACACAATGTGTTATCCCGAGTTCACTCTCACTGCGTTATCCTGGCTCCCATTTACTGTGGTATCCCAGGTTCACTCTCACTGCAATGTCCCAGCTTCCACTTTCTGTGCTATCCCAGCTCCCGCTTACTGCATAATGCCAGCTCCCGCCCTCACTGCATTATTCCAGCTCCAACCCTCACTGCATTATCCCATCTCCCACCCTCACCGTGCTATCCCAACTCCCACTCTCACTGTGTTATCCCAGCTCTCATTCATTCTGTAATTCCAGCTCCCAGTCACTGCGTTATCGCAGCTCCTGATCACTGCGTTATCCCAGCTCTCGATCACTGCGTTATCCCAGCTCCCGATCACTGCATTATTTCAACTCCTATTCGCTGTGATATCCCGGGTTCTCTGTCACCATGTTACCCCAGCTCCCATTCACTGCATAATCTCAGTTTCCACTTACTGCATTATTCCAGCTGCCACTTACTATGTTATCCAAGCTCCCACTCATTGCATTATCCCAGTTTCACTCTCATTGCGTTATCCCAGTTCCCACTGTCCGTGCATTATCCCAGCTCCCACTCTCACTGATTGTCCCAGCTTTCACTCTCACTGCATTATCCCAACTCCCACTCTCACTGTGTTATCCCAGCTCACTCTCATTGCATTATCCCAGCTCCCAGTCACTGTGTTATCATAGTTCCCGATCACTGCGTTATCTCAGGTTCACTCTCACTGTGTTCTCCCAGCTCCCACTTACTGCATTATTCACACTCTGACAGCATTATCCCAGCTCCCACTCACTGCTTAATTCCAGCTTCCACCAAAACAGTACCCAGTCTCACTGCATTATTCCAGCACCCAATCTCACTGCATTATCCCAGCTCCCACTCTCTCTGCATTATCCTGGGTTCACCCTCACTGTGTTATCCCAGCTCCCACTCTCACTGCGTTATCCCAGCTCCCACTCTCACTGTGATATCCTGGGTTCACCCTCACTGTGTTATCCCAGCTCCCACTCACTGTGTTATACCAGGTTCACCCTCACTGTGTTATCCCAGCTGCTACTCACTGCGTTATCCTGGGTTTATCCTCACTGTGTTATCCCAGCTCCCACTCTGAATGCATTATCCCAACTTCCACCTTGTTGCAATATTCCCAGTTCGCCCTCACTGTGTTGTCCCAGAATTTTTCTGCCTGGTATATTCCTCCATTCAGTGTTGCTGATATATTGCTTTATCTCATTTCTTTATTGCTGATGCACTCTCCCTGGTCTAGTTGGAGACAGTCATTATTCAGCACTTTTGTGACATGATTGGTTCTTGTCATTTTTCAGTTGACGCCTGAATGTTGTCTCGGTCTTTTTTTGTGAGCAACGTCAACATTTATGTTCAGACAGTCTGCATTATTTGTATTGTTTCAAGACTGTTGTATCAGTTAATTGATATGAAAGAGTTAATTTGAGCTTATATATTTCGCAGTCACTGGGGAAATTGTTTTGACAGTCTAGGGGAATCTTAAGGCATCTTATGGTATAGTTTGTTGGAGATGGTTCACTCCACATGTTACCATCAATTTAATGTCACCTGTATGGAGTTTCGAAAGTGTAAAAAACCTTATCTTGTTAGCTGAAATAAGTCCCTCTTCTTCATCATTCATACTTCACCATAACTACTAGAAATAACTGTGCCTAGCATGGGAAGATGGATTGTTGTTAGCATTTTGCCTGCAGATTGGAAAACAGCAAATGTGACGCCACTGTTTAAAAAGGGAAGTAGACAAAAGATGGGGAATCATAGACCAGTTAGCTTAACCTCTGTAGTGGGGAAGATGCTTGAGTCTATTATCAAGGAAGAAATAGCAAGGCATCTTGATAGAAATTGTCCCGTTGGGCAGACGCAGCATGGGTTCATGAAGGGCAGGTCATGCTTGACAAATCTTTTGGAATTCTATGAAGACATTACGAGCGAGGTGGACAATGGGGACCCAGTGGATGTGGTGTACCTAGACTTGTGCGGCACCTTGTCAAAGGTGCCGCACAAGAGGCTACTGCATAAGATAAGGATGCATGGCATTAAGGGTAAAGTATTAGCATGGATAGAGGATTGGTTGACTAACAGGAAGCAAAGAGTGGGGATAAATGAGTGCTATTCTAGCTGGCAGTCAGTGACTAGTGGTGTGCCTCAGGGATCGGTGTTGGGACCGCAATTATTTACAAGTTATATAGATGATTTGGAGTTGGGGACCACGTGTAGGGTGTCAAAGTTTGCAGATGACACTAAGATGAGTGGCAAAGCAAAGTGTGCAGAGGACTGTGAAACTTTGCAGAGGAACGTAGATACATTGAGTGAGTGGGCAAAGGTCTGGCAGATGGAATACAATGTAAATAAATGTGAAGGAGTAATAGTAAAAAGGATTATTACTTGAATGGTAAAAAGTTGCAGCATGCTGCTATGCAGAGGGACCTGGGTGTCCTTGTGCATGAATCACAGAAGGTAGGTCTGCAGGTACAACAAGTAATTAGGAAGGCAAATGGAATTTTGTCCTTCATTGCTAAAGGGATTGAAATAAAAAGCAGAGAGGTTATGTTGCAGCTGTACAAGGTGCTGGTGAGGCCACACCTGGAGTACTGTGTGCAGTTTTGGTCTCCTTACTTGAGAAAGGATGTACTGGCACTGGAGGGGGTGCAAAGGAGGTTCACTAGGT